CCCCCCAGGCAGTTCTGGATCTTAGTGGGGAGGGCTTGCTCAGGGGGCCAGGCTCCCTCCCGCGGAGGCAGAAATCAGCTCATAGGTTGCGGGCGGCTCAGGTCTCCAGGATGCCCACTCCAGCGTGGGGTGGGGCGGGATCTGGAACAGGAAATGGAGGGTTCCCCGATCCCAGGGTTCCCGGCCTGTGGACCCAGGCATGAGAGTAGGGGATTCGGGAACCTGGAGGGATGGAGGCGCCAAAAGGGCGGGCCTCCCAGGGGAGCCCCCCTGATGGAGGCTGTTTCTCCCCGTCCCTGGGGACTCGTTGGTGCCCAGAGGTCTGCCCTGGTCAGCAGGCTGCGGGCTGTGGCTCTCCTTGGCGACTGGCCCAGTAGCGGCGGTAGGTGTCCTGGAAAAGGTCTCTGCAGTCGATTTGCGCGCCCAGGCGGGAGCAGGCCAGGAATGCCCCCGCCAGCTTCCGGTGCAGGGCATAGGTCTCCTCGGGCGGGGGGCGCAGCCGGTGCTGCAGCAGCACGGGGATGAGCCCCTGCACGCGGCGGGCGGTGTCCCCGGCCCCAAAGTCATAGGGGCTCCGGCTGGCAAAGGGCTCTCCCAGGATCATCACTGCCTTCACATGGGCATCGGGGGGAGGAGAGACGACACACACAGATACCTCCTGACACCCAGCCTTCCACCCAGCCCCGCTGCCCCTAAAACGACAAGCATAAGTGTGTCTCCACACACCCCACCCCCAGAGAAATATGGTGAACCCACTTCTTACAGAACTTCTCTGAGCTTACAGAGCCCCTTGGTGTTTGTGGGTGCTACCCAGTGATTCTGATCAGACCCTGCCTGACAGAGTTGAACTGGCCACAGACTGCCACATTTTCCTCCGGGGGTGGGGTGGGGTGGGGGGGTGTCCTTCCCTTAAGCACCTTGTGCTTAAGTGCACAAGGCCTCCTTCGCAGGATAACACCTCTACTTCCCCCCCAGTACCCACTCCAAAGACAGTGTTCTAGAACAGACCAGCAGCATCCTACTCCTCCCTCAGCCCCCCCCCCCGGCCTTCCCCCAGTATAGACACAGAGGCTCCCCTCGCTCAAGTAGAAACAAACAGCTCCCACCCTGCCACCCCCAGGTTTCCCTAGGGCAGACCCTGCCCCCCAACCTTGGTTTCAAAGCCTGTGAGGAACTTGAGGTCTTGGGATTTCTGCAGGACACGGTCATGGTCCCCCTCTGCTGCTGCCTTCACCACCTGTGGGCACAGGGTGTGGGCACAGGGTAAAGCTCAGGAGGGGGATTGGTGGGGGGGTTGGGGACCTGGCCCGCTGCCCTGGTACCCATCCCCATTCTGAACCCACTCACCTGAGCCCCAGACTCAGAAGCTTCCCCCCCTTGCATACCTTGCCTGCTCAGCTGTCTTTCCCTGTCTACCTACAGTGTCCCCAAGTCTGGGGTAGGTGGCCGGGGATTCTGCCCACGTGCCTAGGTACACCACAGTGAAACAACACAGGGAAAGCACAAGCCAGGTGCCGTCCTCCTCATCCAAATAACCATCCAGAAGGTGATGTGACCCCGCCACGCACTGGCCTGCCACTCAGCCATCTGGGGTCATTTGGTTGGGACTGTCCCACCCTCGTTCTGAGCTCCAAAGGGGCAGGGAGCCCTGTGGGTGGCGTCCTACGGCATGGGACCTGCCACTCAGAAGGCCCTCCGGGAACCTGGCATGTAAGTGTGGACCCAGGTCCCCTCTGTAGTCCCAAGCTCCCTTAGCGAAGCAGACACCTCTCTGGGACTCCCATAGTCCTCTGTCACCCACATCCCAGCCCTGACCACCGGCCCCTCCAGGTCATCACTGTGCATCCGTGACAGCAGAGTGCCTGCAGGACCGCCCCAAACAGGTCTGGGTGCAGAGGGGGGCCCCCCAGGGGACATATGCACAGTGTGATTCGAGGACCCAAGCTGAACATTCATTCTTGACAAGTTACCCAGCTGGTGTTCTCTGAGGCAAGGCCACCCAGGTGCATCAGCACTTCCACCCGGATGGGGGATGGGGGGGAGAGCCAGCCCTGGGGGAAGCACCCTGTATGTGTGTGTGGTGGAGGGTTGTGGGGGGAGCTGACCAGCTGGCCATGGTGCTGTCCAGAGTTTGGAGTGAGGGCTCCCGACCCTGACTACTGCAGTTTGAATCCCAGCTCGGCCAGTAACCTAACCTCTCTGCCCAACAACTACTGCATTCAGCACAGGAGGCTAACTATGGTCCTGACCCCTTACGGCTGCATCACAGCGAAAGCCCGGAGCCCTGGTGGCATAGAGGTTCACCGCCACCAGCTGCTCCTTGGGCGAGGACAGGATTTCCATGCCTGTAACGAGGGGCAGTCTCACGGGGCAGTCCTGCCCTGGCTACAAGGCCGCCGTGAGTCAGTGTTGACTCGATGCCATGACCATCAGTGTTTTATGGCGAGACTCTGCTGCTCGATTCAAAGTGCTCACGACAGTGCTGGCCTCAAGATGAAGTGCGGCCATTGCTTGGGGCCGTCATGGGTTTCCAGCTGGGCTATCTACAAGGTCAGCAGTTTGAAACCCCCAGCTGCTCTATGGGAGAAAGAGGAGGCTTTCTATTCCCGTAAGATTGACAGTCTCAGAAACCCACCGGGGCAGTGCTACTCTCTCCCATGGGGTCCCCGAGTGGGAATCGGCTCCAGGTCAGTGACTGGTTTCTTCGATGCGAGCGAGTTTGATTTTTTTTTTTTTTTGAGACGGCCTTCTGGCGGCACTGTGCAATAAGCCCGGGCCTGCTGATCTCTGGGTTGGTGGTTCAAGCCCACCAACTACTCTGAGGGAGAAGGAGGCTAGAGAGATCCACAGTCTCGGAAAGCCCATAGAAGATCATTAGGGGTCAGAATCAACCGGGTTGCTGGGCTTCGATTGGACTTCTGGGGGCCACCAGCGCTGCTGCTGCCATCACTGCGTGCTGCCAATTCCCGGTGAGCCTATAGGATGGAGTAGAACGGCCCCGCCCAGCTTCCCTAAACTGAAACTTCACAGGGACAGATGGCCAGGCCTTTTCTCCTGCAGTGGGAGCTGCTGCTAGGGGGGCTAGCAGCTAATCACTTCACTACGTGGTCACCTAGGGTCCTCTTAACATCACGACAAAGTCACTCCTCACTTGCAGCCACTTTCTCTCTCCCTCCCCCGCTGACCGCAGTGTTCAGCCTGGGCTTCGGCCCTTCAGGGGTCCTGCAGTTGGGGGCTTACCTCGATGTAATGGTCTGTGAACTCCGTCCCAAACTCCCGGCTTGCCCCAAAGTCCAGCAGAGTCACCTGGGAATGGGGATGAGGAAATAAATACTGGGAGTCCACCGCCACGCTCCCATCCCTGTGACCTCGCCTGTCCTGCCAGGGCCCCCGCCTACTGCCACCCCAGGCTCTTAGTCTCTGTCCTTCTAACCCACCCCTTCCGCTTCTTGCCCACCCCCCCACGGTAGTCGGGCGGATCAGACTTCAATCTTCCGGCCCTAATTGATTTTACAAAAATATATTTTAGGTGTGCAGACAAGTTCCAGAGAACAACAAAAATAGGAGGGGGCGTAGAAAGCTTGTACACAAACAATGAGGAGAGAAAAGTTTCCCCCCAAACCTTCTAACACCCCTTCGTACCTACGTGAATTGGCATCATCACAAAGAGATGCACAGCGACACAAGGGGGCTGCCCCAAAAAGTTCATGGAAAATGGGATGGAAAGATGATGGAATTTCAACCACCATCACCCCTGCCACCACACACACCCACACACACACACTCTCTCTCTCCTGGAATAAAAACCAAGCAAAAGTGTCCTCAGATCTTTAAACCTTAACCCCGGAATATCCCCTCAAGTCATCCTAAAACGGAACTGTGATTTAGCCAGTTCAGAAAGCCTGCCTGCAGCAGGCTGCTCCTCTAAGAACTATCTTCACGGGACAGAAGGGGCAACAGCCACAGGGTGAAAGGCCAGGCAGGTTCTCGGAGGGTCACGGCGGGCAGGGTGTGTGTGTGGTGACAAAAATGCATCCAAGGAAAAAGAACAAGTGTACTGACGCCTGAACCCCACTAAACTGGTACTTGCCATTCTGTTTATGTTTGGGTTTTTTAGTGAGTGGTGGGGGGAGCTACTTTTGGGACCCAGTGAATTCGAGTCAGGACTTCGGTCACTTCTGGAGAACAAAGGATAGGGCCAGCTGCCAGGCCTCCAAAACTGTCCAGGCGCGTCAGGAGCGGGAACCTGATGCTGCTGCCACCGGCAGTGCTGTTTCCGTGTGTTTCCACAGGGGCAGGGCCGCAGGGAGAGGGCGCATGCTGGGAGGAAGGGGTGAAAGGGTGGCAGGGGCTGAGGGTGGCCAAGAAAGGGCTCTGCTTTGGGGTGGTGGAGTGGGTGCTACGGGGGCCCTGGAAGGGACTTCTTGGCCAGATTGTCCTTGAGAGAGATGCCTCCGTGGGCCACTGTGGAGCAATGCCTGGCAGTCTCTGGTAACATGAGAGATGTGGGCAGCAGGCTGGAAGCCTGCCAGGCCCGGCCCTGCAGCTGCCAGCTCTCGCGAAGGCCGTCTCCTCCTCCACTTTCATGGAACCTCAGCAAGGGACAACATACCCGGTCCCTGCCTGGGTCTCCCCCACCCTGCCCGCTTTGGCCAACGCTCCAGCACTGGACTAACAGCGCTGAGACATCATGATTGCCTCGTGATACGTCCGGGAGTGACTGCTTGATGCTAAGTGCATGGAGGCGGTGGGCCGGATGGCTCCCTGCCTTGTGCGGGGTGGGCTTCCTCTTCTATAGGCCACTAGGAAGCCACTGTCCAGCCAGGGAGCCCATTTCCCAGCATCCCTTGCACCAGGTCACTAGTCTTCCTCACTGGAAAGAAAGGTAAAGGAAATGATGGGTCACTTCTGACCAGAGCAGGGCGAGGGGCAGGGGGCAAAAGTGGACAGTATGAGGTGAGCCAGCCCAGCGGGGCACCCATGGGAGTATTAAACCATGACTACTGTCAGGCTCGGAGACACCAGGGGCTGTTTGTTACAGCGGCTAATACACTCCATGCACATTGCAAGGGGCCAACCTGGTGGCTGGCTGCCTCATACAGGAAGTTGGCCCAGTTGGGGTCCGTCTGCATAAACCGGAACTCAAACAGCTCCCGTAGACAGAGTTTCAGGAGCTGGAAGCAGATCTGGGGCGGGGAGAGAACATTGAAGCTCAGCCTGCCACCCAGGGGCCTCTCTGGGCCAAGCAGGGTCGCACTTTAGGGCACCAGCCTTCCCTCCAGTCCCTGGAGACCCTGTACCTCATTCCGGATGTCCTGGCTCAGGCCTTTGCACTGGTCCAGAGGGACCCCCTGGGCCAGCTCCATGCCCAGCACCCGTGCTGTGCTCAGCTCCGGGATCACGGCCGGCACCCTGAAGAAGGGGTCATCTGCCAGCAGCTGCCTGGGGCAGGAGCGGGAGGAAGAATGAGGGTGGCTCGCGCTGCCAGCCCGGAGCCTGCTGGGGTCAGCCCTCCAAGTAGAGCTCGCAAGCCTAGCCTGCCTACTTTTCTTGCCTGTCTGGGACCGACGGCCGGGCCCATGTTCCCTCGGCTGCCTCCGGAGGCATGTATGCCAGAATGGGCACGGGGGAGACCCAACTCCCACTCGGAGGCCACCTCAGGCATTTCGGTGGCTGCTGGTCGCCCCTGGAGCCCAGAGCACTTGGCCTGATGGTCTCCCCAACTGACTAGCCCATCCAGAGTCCACAGTGATGGGCATAGGTCACTCCTGAGGGCTCTCTGGACAGTGGGCAACACTGAAAAGGAGAGCCCTTTCATCCCAGGGCCTCCGTCCCTGTGCAGGATGACTGGGAGGCAGGGAAGGGCAGAGGCGTCGACTAGCTCGTTTCAGGGCACAGCTGTTGTGAGTCGGACATTGTGGAAGACACTGCTGCTCCAGGTATTCTAGAAGAGCCCGCTGGGTTGAACAGCTATCCCACTGCTGCATCCGACTCCCAGGGACACTCTAGGACAGAGGGTTTCCGAGACGGTAAGCCTCTATGGAAACAGACTCCTTCATGTTTTTCCCTTAGAGTGGCTGGTGGGTTTGAACCGCTGACCTTGGGGTGAACAGGCCATGGTTTAATCCTCATTGCCACCAGGGGTTGGGTCGTAGGCTTAGTAAATAATGAGCTTTATAAGACGATGCCAAACTGCTTCTCCAGAGCAGTCAGATCCACGTCCCTCGTGTCTATGTGACACTCGTGTCTGGGTCTCTGCAGCTTGTGCACCACCGAGGGAGTAGTAATAGCTCACTGCCTACTCAACCCCTTGTTGCTAAGTCCATTTCCCCCTTCAAACCAGGAGGTCACGAGTCCCATTTGACAGGAAACTGACACAGAGATGAAATGACCTGCCCAAGCTTGACACGAGGGAATACAAGAGAAGGATGGATAGATAGATGGAGGAGTGGACAGATGAGTGAGTGGGTAGGTGGATGGGTAGATGGATGGATCAACAGACGGGTGAATGGGTAGATGGATAGATAGATGGATGAATGGAAGAGTAAGTGGGTGGGTGGGTGGGTGGATGGACAGATAAGTGGGTGGGTGGATGGACAGACAGATGGGTGGGTAGGTAGATGGATGGATGAACAGATGGGTGAATGGGTAGATGGATAGACGTACGGATGAGTGGACCAGTGGCTGGGTGGGTGGATGAATGGATGGAGAAAAAAGTGGGAGGGTGGATGGACAGACAGATGGGTGGGTGGGTGGGTAGATGATGGATGAATAGATGGGTGAACAGGTAAATGGGTAGCTGGACGGATGAGTGGACCAGTGGGTGGGTGGGTGGATG